GGTTAATATTACCAAATCATTGTTGAAAATATCAACCAAGGCTGTTGAAAATATTAACCAAAAATCACATTGATTCTTTTTCAATTTGAATTTGATAATATTAACCGATTTTTGATTGATTTTTTCTCAGTGTTTGCTTAAAAACACAAATTTATTTTTATTTCAGGTATTTGCACTAAAGCAAGACTACAAAACTAGTTTCTTAGCATATTTTAATTAATGGTAATAACATCCCGAAATATCCCGGGATACCGGGATTACCAATTGAAGATACCGAAATCCCAGGATTCGCAAAATAGTCCGCGATTGGATGCCTTAAATCAAATAAATGGTTTATTGACTAAATCTAATTCCGCCATCAGCAGTGGCAGTGCGGAAACTATAAAATTCAGTTATTATATTTTTTTAATAATTATGCCAAAATTACCACATTTCATTAAATATCACTTGGGTGATGTCTAGACTTTATTTTATTGACCCCGGCCAATATCAGGTGGGGCTTTGGATCGATTTATGCAAGTGTATTAGTAACTACAGTTGACGCAAGTTAAACTTGCCAAATTTAGTCGCTATGTCAATTCCTTACTAACACTCACTCTCTTTTTGTTTGATAAGTATGACGAATTTATTATATGCATTATTTATTAGATGTTTATTATAGGCCTTTTTCTAATATGTTTTGCCTGGCTTTGAGGTGGTTTATTGTATAAATAGCAGATAAGATTATATGTATGTATGCATGTATGTACATTAGGGTTGTAAAACAAAAAGAAGTATAGTCCGAATTTTAATGCCCTCACCCCCTAGGACTGTCCTGTAACGAAAAAGATATAGCTCAAAATTTNACATTTTTAATTGTTAAAAATTTTTTATAGGATCCTTAAAACCTCCAAAAGAAGCAATTGGGGACCCATAAAAAATCGCTATTGTTATAAAAATGTAAAGTAAGCAATTGGGTATTTTAATTGGAAGTCTCCCCAAGAGAAACAGAGTTTTCTGATCTAAAAGTATTGATTTTCAAGAATTCCATACCATTTCCACGAATTTTAACGTATATAAAATACATGAAAAATTTGAGCACTTTGAGCGGCCTCTAAAATTTTTTTTTGATTTCAAAATAAAAAAACAGGGGCATAGTTTTTTTCGGTATAGAACAGTCCTAGGGGTGGGAGCATTCAATTTCGGTCTTTACTTTTTCACATGAATTTTTGGACCACCCTAATGTGAATACTTAGTTGGCTGCTTGAAGGGGAAAAATTATAACTTTGTTATAAGTTTAAAATAGAAATGCTAAAAAGATACCGTTATCACAAAAGTTTTACGAATTGTTATCAGGGATTCAAAAAAAACTTTTCCTACTATCATAAGAATGCCTTTCGAAAGAAACTAGCGAATAAATACAGGCAGATTTTGCAAATTCTACCATTTCAATACTTATGGAGGTTCGATTACAAAACTTTTTTTTTTTGGAGATTTTTTTAACAAAAAGACAAACACTTTTGTTTTTAGCAGTTTCCATTTCAAATATTGACTTCATTCATTAAAAATATTTAAAACAATTGAGCAACCCATTCCTAATCATATAATTTTCAGAACAGGCCTGATAAAAATACTTTTTTCTTCATGTAAAAAATTAAGGTAAAATTTTCTAACAGCTGCAAATAAGTGTATAAGCAGTCATTAATCAATCAGTGCATACTTTATTCTAAATTTACATACATACTTATATTATATACAAGTTTTGTTTTGGCTGCTATTATAAATTACGCTAGTATGCTATCGGTCATTTGGACACACATTTATATCTATTTTATAATTAAGTATGTAAATAAACACATAAATGTTTTATTTCTTTATAATAGTTTGACACATTCCATGTGTTATCCTTTATCATTTATGATAAACTACGGACGTAACTTTTTTTTACAGATAAGAAAAATCTATCTTCAGCCTTACCTTAATTGTTACTATGCAGCCAGTGAGCGCGAAAATGTTGCATAACATATGATAAGATGCCATCAACAGGGTTAGCGCATGTGTTATGTGGCTCAGCACCAGTTGTACGATGAAATAAGAGACGGACATTGTCAACACAATATACAACTGTATCGGTTGACAGCTATTGAATAGGTCTTTAAAAGGCATATTGTTGCTGATGTTTTTTTTTTTATTGATGAATATTTATTCGATGCTGCGACTAGCAATCGTAGGCAACTTTACGCCTACTTGTATGGTGAATATATTTTAGGTTGATGCACTGTGATCAGTCTGTTGTTCTTAACCGCATGTAAGTATTATCTGAGAAGAAAAGAAATGCTGTCTGTCGTCTGAAACGATTATGAAAAAATAAATTTGATTTAGATGTTCTCGTAACGTAAGTGTTGTGGTGGGGCAGGCATAAATGCATGTGAAATAAATATAATTCAGGTTTCGCTGTTAATTTCCTTATTTATACTTTATTAATTAAAATTTCTCAAAACAGGAATATAGAGTTACGAGTCAACTCTCAACAACATGAGGTATTCTACTGGCGCGTGTTTATAAGTAATCAGTAATTGCGAAATAAATATTTACATATAAAGCGTTAGGTTATGTTGCTATAGGAATAAGTTAATTAAGGACAAAGTAAGGCATTCTACAAGTATAAACATATCAGGGATGAAAAAGTAGGTACAATTGTACCTATTTTCGACGTTTGATGACATGACTTAAAGGTACATAAGGCACAATAACTAAATTTTAGGTACAATCATCTTTTGATCCGTGGTAATACATATCGTCGTTTAAAGTAGAAAACCGCTTATCGTCATTCTGCAAAACCTCACACGAGCTCTGGTCCCAATCCCTATCTATTCGTCCTGAAATATACTAGCCAGAAATGCGGTTGCTTTATAAAAAAGTGAAGCATTTTGAAATACGATGGGAGAAGCTTCGCTTTCATTTTGAAAAATAAACAATTCTAAGGAAAAGTGGTCAAAAGGAAGAAATTAAAAAAAAACCATATTATGTATTCTCTTAAACATTTTACATTGAATTTAGAATGACCAGTACGAATAACTAACTCTTTACTTAGATATTGTCAAATTCGTAATTCTTGTTATATTTTTTGAAACGTCATTGCGCCCTAGACCAACGTACTCCCATCTCGAGTGATCAACTGGTCTCTGCCTCTGGTAATATGGTATGGAAAGAGGTTGGGGTCACGGCTGCCAACTTGGCCGTGCCATTTTTG